TGCAAATTCCTTCATAATTCCTTTATCTTATTGTTTAAATCACATATAAGCTTTCCTTAAGCTTATTTAATACCCAAAGAATCAAAACCAAACTTAAAATTCAAATAATAATCAACTAATAAAACTCTCACCTTTGCCTTGCTCTCCCACGTATGAAGAAGAAGAAAGGAGAAGAGAACTCTGGATGTTTCTCCAAATTCCCACGTTTATATTACCTTAAAAAGAAATATAAAAATCTTTCTGGTCAAATGACCATTTAACCCTTAATTTCCTTTAATAATTACTAAATAACCTTCAATATATATTCAAATAATCATTGAACTATTTCATTCTTCTACTTTAGTCATCAAATTCTGAAACTTTACAATTTGATCACTAACCCGGTATTGAGGGTGTTACATTTACGCAGGGATTTATTTGCAGGGATTACTTCCCATTACAGACGCGCATATGAGGACTGCATATGAAGACTGTTCAACTATATATTTATTTATTTATACATACATTGTATTTTATCTTTATTTTTAATTTTCTGACTGTAAGAGGTCTTCCACGGAAGCTGTTCTCAACTTGGCATTAGGGGCAGCCTAGGGCTGTAAATGAGACGAGACAGATCGCGAGTTACTCGAGATCGACTCGATCAAGGCTCGATAAATACTTGGATCGAATGGACTCGACTCAAGCTCGAGCTCGACTCGAGTTCTTAACGAGCCGAAACGAGCTACTCGATATTCGACTCGAAAAGCTCGTGAGCAACTCGAAAAAAATATTATATTATAATTTTAGATTTTTTAAAATTACATTATAAAAAATTTATTAAAAATACATTATTGATAATTATAAAATTTTAAAATTATATTAAAAACTCTCTAATACAACTACCCTCAAATTTTAATTTTTTTAATTAAGCAACCCAAGTCCAATTGTTACATTGTATATTACTAAAAGAAAAATAAAAGCCCATTTAATTAAGCACATGTTAGATTATACCCTAAACCCTAAACTCTAAGCCATAAATACTAAACCCTAAACTCTTAATCTGATTATATGATAGGGTACTAAAAGAAAAATAAAAGATCATTTAATTAATCACATGTTAGATTACACCCTAAACTATAAACTATATACTACAAGCCCTAAACCCTAAACCCTAAGCCCTAAGCCCTAAGCCCTAAGCCTTAAACCCTTAATCTAATTATGTGGTAGGGGTTAAGTTATGCACATGAAGGTAACATACAAATTATGCAAAATGAAATTAATGAAATTAACAAGGGTTTATATGTAAATGAATTAATAAATCACACTTGGTCAAATCAATAAATAGGTTCATTATCAAAACAAACGGTGATCAAAAAATCAATTTTATTTGATTGTTACATTTTTAATTTCTCGAAAACAATTAATTTGATTAAACAATTCATTTATTCATTTGAAAATGTCATGCATTTTTTAGTCTCAATTGTTGAGAGACCTAGAGATATCTCTCTTACAATAAGAAGGAAACATTTTATTTTAATTGATCATATCTCAATATATGATTCTCATTATATATGAATTTGATTTGTATCTTATACATATTTATCTTTTGAATATCAATCAAACTTAATATTAAGCCCAATATATTATTGTGCCCATAATAATAATCAAATCGACTTTAGAATAATTAATAATATTATTTAAGGAGAATATTATATAATAAAAATACAAATGATTATAATAATAAATTTAATTATCAAAATATTATGTCTATATAATATGTAGGAAATTATTACTAACAAGAGGATGTTATCAGAAATTATGCCTTTGAATGAATACAGACCAGTTGCTTGCAATAAGCTTAGGCAAGAACTTTGTCATTCTAGCAACAAGATGCACTTGTAGATGTCTGAACAACAATAAATTGAACGAAAATGTTTCACGCAACTAGGATTAGGAAAACCATAAGGGCTTGGTGAATTTCCTCCATCTTGAGAAAACATTGCACACTTGATTTACTGCTCACCAATAGATCTGTTTAGATCCACTTGATCTTCAGAACAAAGACTGCACTGTAAAAGCTCTTGTAACATCTCCATTGATGTAATGTAACATTAACTTCATGATCAGAGGAATATCGAACCATTCTACCGACCCCTACAAGATATGATGTGGATAATGAAAATCTTAACCTGAAACTAATGCCAAGAAAGAATGGGAAAAGGAAATGTACTTTCTTCCTTGATTTTGTTCTGTCTTTGTTAAATAGCTAAATTATAACTGCCAATGCAGGTGCGCAAGAGACCTTTGAACAAAAAGGAAATGGCAAAGAAAGAAGAAGATATCATTACTATACAGTCAAATTCCAATGCACTAATGGTTCAAGAAAAAAAACTAAAGGTGAGTAGTTGGCAGGGCTTCCTCTTTTTCCTGCAGTTATTGTTATGAACTGCGATGTTTATGTTTGGATTTATTCGTTTGGTGCACTCACTAACTTGAGCTCCTAACCCACCAGCCATGTCATGCTATATCATTTTCAAGAGATTACTTGTTTAAAATCAGAAACAAAGTTGATTGCTCTTTGCTTTGATTTTCATCGAAAACCCATACTAACTTTTAATATAAAATTCTCAATCTCCACCATCCTTGTACGATTTATTGATTGATCTTGAATGCAACTCGAAGTTTATAAATCTAAATATTTACAGAGCATAAAGGATAGAAAGAAAGAAAAAGTAAAAGATGCTCCATGACTGGGAAGACAAGGTGGCGCTATTGCGCAGAAAAAGGCTCCTTGTTAGTCCAAAGCCTTTTGAATTTATATCCCACACCAGACGCTGAAGAGAGTAAGAGCGCTGGAGTCATTTATAAAAGGAGTGAACTAACGCCTGTTTTAAGTATATATTTCTCCGCCTTTTGGCTAATATCAAGTGTAGTATGTGTTTATTAGCTTGATATCTGATACGTAGGCTAATGGCTCATACGATATTGAATTTATTTTTTGAGGGTGAGAACCTTTCATAGTAGCTTGCTTCAGGGGAGGATTGAGCTTGAATCGAGTTTGAATCAAGCTTTTGATTTTTTTTTTTGATTTTGAGTATTTTCAAGTTTGAGTTGAGTTTTAATATTATTTTTTGAGTTTGAATCAAGCTTGAAAATTTTAGGTTTGCTAGTTTTCGAGTTGCATTGAGTTTACATATAAAGTTTCCGTTTTCGAGTCGAGTTTAACAATACTTGAACTTGAATCGGCTCGTATACACCCCTAGAACAACTTACTATACTATCTCCCTCTTACCCTATTGTGGAAATAGGGTTTTGTTGTTGTTATCGTCGTCGTGTCTAAGGATGTAACATAAAAAAAACCAAACAAAATCAATATTCAATAAATTTATTGACAATGGCTAAAATTCATTTAAAACTCAGTAAATAATTTCAGTAATAAAAATATTTTCTTTAAAAGTTTCGAGTTCGAATAACTACATTTATAAAATATATAAATTATCAATAATTAAAAAAATCATGAACATTTACTACCTTCTAATCATCACAAACTATTCGAAAAATATTTACTTAATATAATAAAAACCTAAACCCAGCCAAATATTAAGTTCATTAATAAACAAACGTAAAAATATAATAAGGGAAAACTACAATGACAGTCCCTTTTATTTTTATCTTGTTTGATTCTAATCATTGAGTTTTAAAAAGACTGATTTTGGTCACATCAATCTAATTTTAGTCACTAGAACGTTAACTCTCATTTTTTTAACGGACGTGGCATATAAGTAAAAATGGTTAAATTTTAATTTAATCATTAAATGTTAGAAAAAATTCTAATTTGATCTTATATTTTATATAAAATAGTAATTTAACCTCTAAACTTTTGATAAAATATCAATTTAACATTTAAATTGAGTCAAAATTATTGTCAGCGGTCGCCACTCATCACTATTGTCGGTACCTACCGACAACCGTTGGATCTTAAAATTTTCATTTCACTAAATTTTAACCTCGTGATCACGAAATCCAATGTATATTTCATCGAAAAATACCCTAAGCTTCATAAACTTGATCTAGAACCTATCAAATTCCTTTAAAAATAAACGAATAATAAAGTTATCATTATATTCTTTTTAAACTAAATATACCAAAATTTGGTGGTATAAAAAAAGGAAGCATTGATAAAATCCAAATTTCATGATTGTTATTTCATTTGAAGAGCTTATGTAAGTAAGAATATAAAAATATATGCCAGAGTGGGATTTCTTAACACTGCATCAAAATATTAATTATAGCTTAAGGGTCATAAATTATCCAAATATAGAAGTATTTTATGCGTTGGTAAGTGGATCATAAACTATATCTATATATATATATTGAATAGTTTGAGATGATTATAAAATAATATTTATTTATAATTTTACTTGATATTGAAAATGTATACATATCCTATATACACAATCGTTGAGTGACAATACTTTAAAATGAAAACAAACACTTCTTTAATCACTAAAACCCCTCAATTGATTGTTCTTTTATTAATAAATTGAGTTCCTTGAATACAAATATAGACGCACTTCACTTTCCCTTTTGTAATTTTTTTTAAGTTTAACTTAATTTTGACGTCAGATTTCAAAGGGACATTAATATTTTTCCAGTATAACTAATTTAGTTATTTATTTTGAATTTTAGCGTATTAATTATTACTAATTTAATTAAATAAATGGATTGAGCTCAACCAATAGTGAAGATCTTCTGACTTTTTAGAGGGTGGGAAGTGGGGAACAGGAATCTTCTCTGTAATTTATATGACAACTAGCACTTTGATAACTAGTAAGTTGAAACAACAAGTGCAGATTAATAGAGAAGGACAGACTGTATAAAAAGTCAACGATCTTTATTCCATAAATGATCCGTTGGATCGTTTCTTTCACCAAAATCAGTTGACCGAATCAAAATCTTGTCTTCTCTACCGAAAGGACGAGTAAATTTCCAAGCCTGCAATAGACTAATTGGACGAAAAGTCTTCTAACTTGTTCATCCATGGCGGTGTTGGGTCGTAGGGACAAAGCGCAACAGTCACTACGATCTCGGATCGCAATAGCCATTGTCATCGGAGTTGTCATTGGTTGTCTCATCGCTTTCTATTTCCCTCATGGCCTCGTCATTTCCTATCCCTCGGTTCGAACTCGTCCATTCGGCATTTCCAATATCCAGGTTCTCCTCTTATTTTGATTAATGTTCCTTTTTTGAGTGATTATTAATCTTCATACTAATGTCAATTGGATTTGATATTTGTTGTTTGATGGATACGCCATCGTTTTCTCTGCTGTTTTTCAGGTCGATTCTTCTCCGTGCGAATCCTCGGAGCAGATTAAGATACTGAAGTCCGAATTCGTCTCGCTGTCGGAGAATAATTCCGATTTAAAGAGGCAGATCAGGGATTTGAAATATAAGCTTCGACTTGTTGAACAAGGAAAAGATCATGCAGAGAAGCAGTTCTTGGTGTTGGGTGAACAGTACAAAGCTGGACCTTTCGGTACCGTCAAGGCTTTACGAACTAGCCCGACCGTCATTCCCGATACATCGGTGAACCCGAGGTTGGCTAAGATCTTGGAGGAAGTTGCCCTCGAGAAAGAACTTATCGTGGCTCTTGCCAATTCAAATGTGAAAGAGACATTGGAGGTTTGGTTTTCTAGCATCAAGAGAGTTGGTATAAGTAATTATCTTGTTATAGCTTTAGATGATTACATTGTCGAGTTCTGCAAATCGAATGATGTCCCGGTGTACAAGAGGGATTCGGACGAGGGTATCGATGCTGTCGGTAAAACTGGAGGCAATCACGCCGTCTCCGGATTGAAGTTCCGAATTTTGAGGGAGTTTTTGCAACTGGGATATAGTGTTCTGCTCTCGGATGTTGATATAGTGTACTTGCAGAATCCGTTCAACCATCTTTATCGCGATTCCGATGTCGAGTCCATGACCGATGGTCACAATAACGTGACTGCATATGGATATAACGATGTCTTCGACGAGCCCGCCATGGGATGGGCACGATTTGCTCATACAATGAGAATCTGGGTTTTCAACTCTGGTTTCTTTTATATGAGGCCTACGATTGCTTCGATTGAGCTTTTGGATCGCGTCGCGGACCACCTTGCTCGGCAGGAAAACTCATGGGACCAAGCTGTTTTTAATGAGGAACTCTTCTTTCCATCACATCCTGGGTATGATGGCCTTCATGCCGCTAAAAGAACTATGGATTTCTACATGTTTATGAACAGTAAAGTCCTGTTTAAAACAGTGAGAAAAGATGATAAACCGAACAAGTTAAAGCCTGTTATTGTTCATGTGAATTACCACCCGGATAAACTTCAAAGAATGAAAGCAGTCGTCGAATTCTACATCGATGGCAAGCGAGACGCATTGGACGCTTTCCCGGATGGTTCGGAATAACAGTTGCACAGCTGCGGATCTCATGTTATTCTGATGGATCGGCCCGTCGGTTCGGTTGTTGTTGCAGAGTCCCTTGATAGGGGAAAGTTAAAACTTTGTTAAGGGTTTTAGTGTTTCTTTTTTATGATGAAGACTTGTTGCATTGTCTGCCACATAGTTTGTGTGATTTTCCCTTGAAAATTTGGCTTTTTGTTGTCCGAAATTGCAATGAAAATGTAAAGGATAACATGGTGTCTGGGGTGCTTATACAACAGTTATAATGTTTATAAATCTCTGAATCGACCACTCACAAGCTATTACTTTCATTCCAAATCAACAGAAATTAAATTCTTCACGATTAAAATCTGGAATTGCAAATCGATAATTTTCCATTTGAATTGTAAAATAGAATTGAAAGACAAATCTTTTGTTTTTAGCATTTTTCGATAGTCTTATCCATAGATAAATAGACGGAGCACTTAAACGTTTTTGTGGCTTAAATCTTTTGATAAACCTCTTTCTTTTCTTCCCTTCCACTTTCACTATCGAAATTTCAGAAAAAACAATCTTTTCTCATGAAATTCCTCAGTTCATCAACAGAAAACATGTTCTGCAAGGTCATTTATTACCCTTTTGACAGTTTAAGAACTTAATCCAATTTCCATTCAACAATGAAGATGATTCAGAGATTTTTCACAGAAAAAGAACTGTTCTTTTCAAAAAACATTCATGGACTCCAACTCAGATAGATTTCAATGATGTCTTTGGTGGTCCACCAAGGAGGCCATCGGTTCAAGAGATACGGTACAGTTTTGGTGAAGACGTGGTGGATTCGACAAGTGATGAAACAGTGGTTGCATCCCGGAATCCATGGTCCGGTTTAAGCGAAAAGCCGGTGTACAGTGAAGAAGTGACGTTGAATCGAAGAAGATGCTCCAGAAACGACTTCTTTGATGATATTTTTCGAGGGAATCAATCTTTGACTTCTTCTCCAAGAAAGTATGAGATGAGGACCTTTTGCACTGGCTTCACAGATATTGAGCCCTTGTAGGCCTTTGCCACCCAAGGCTGAACCTTTTTGGCCTTCATTTCGTTATATAATCTTTCATTTCCTTCTCAATTCAGGTTCTGAATTTCACTTTTTGGCCTTCATTTCGTTATATAATCTTTCATGTTTTTGGTTATATGTGCACATACTGACTAGTTCTATGTTTAAAAAACCAGTAAGCTTGTCTTGTAAGTGTTTCATATTGTCCCTAAACTGGTTAAATAACGTCCTTTATTTGCTTAACATGTTGACTGAAATCTGAGGTTATAGGGGTTGTTCAGTTTCTCCATTGAAATCTTCGTGTTAGACACGAATCTGTATTCAACATTCGCACCTGAATCCGAGTAACATGGTACATTTTTATTAAGTTTGCCAATAGCTTACTTTTGTTACCTTTAACTTCACTGCCTTCCTGCCAAATTGAACAAAGCAATAAGTGGTTTTCAAGGCGATTCGAAAGAAGATTTAAGCAGTTAGGAAATTCCGGGAAGCGATAACTGGTTTCACTTCTCAATATACAAATGGGCAAACAAAGGAGGAGTGCCGTTTGCCATTCCTCTAAGGGGAAGTCATAGATTCAAAGACAAGGATAAACTGCAGGGATGTTCAAGTGCTAATGGTTGGATAGCTTGTGAAGGTATAGCAGTGGAACCAAAAGAAGAAAATTTGCACAACAATTTCAGCACTACTGATAGAATGTCATCAGAAGACAATAAAAAACACAACTCTCTCATTGATGGGAGGAACAAATTCAATGAACCGGTTCAAATTATCAAGGAAGGCAACGTTCCGAAGTCCCGGTCAGAAAGTTGGTCTAAAAGTGCTTATAAGAAAGTCTCTGGTGACACTATCTTGCCTAGTTCAAAGGCAGAAAAAAAGACCCAGTATTCCATTTCTCCAGTTGGTAAAGAAACTTACAAGCCTAGACTGAAACCTCCGAACAATGTAGACGGCAATGGAAAAGGCAGAGGCAGAGGAAATGTCAAAGAGTTCATTAAAATTTTCAACCAGGATGGTTCACTGAAACCCAGAGCCGACGTTGCCACCGAGAATCATAGGTCTAGATTGAAGCAAAAGAATAACAAAATAGTAGATATATTCCAGTTTTCATTCCAAATTACACGACAGTTAAACGATGCTGAGATTTTAAGGTACTTGATTGAGGCTGAACCTCTAATGGATTGCTCCACTTGGGTGATGAATAGATGGAAGACCTGACACCAGTTCCAAAAGAGAAAATTTTGCCACAATATGGCATGGATCATGAAGAAATCCAGGTAACAAAGAGTACACTAAAAGCAACCATAAACACCTATGTCGCTTCAAATATTTTCAGCCAGTTAATTCGTCGTAATGCAGGCCATCGACATTAAAATCCGGCAATGGTCGACTGGAAAACAATGACATATCCGTTCACTGTTGTCAACCTTACAATATGTAAGGATCCTCCAAATATATGGAAAAACATATACTTATATTCGACACTAGCAATGGAATGCAAGAAAGACTAACATTGGTAGTAAAAACAGGTTCTTTGGGTCGATAGTGGTTGGAAACCAGTCCCACTTCAAGATATAATTGGACGAGCTGTTAAAAAATCATACCAAAGCTCTTCTGTGTCTTCATCCAGGTAAACTACAGCAGAAGGGAGCTGCCTCCTATAAAAAATACATTGCAGAAAAAGTCTTTGATATTCTGCAGGTAATGTATGGTTCCTGTAAACATTTCTTCTCGATTACAGTAAAAGAACTGATATCGATAACCGACATATATCTAAACATAAATGCTTAAAAATGAACGTATTGTATCTAAAACTCACATCCGAATCGTATAGTAATTCTTTGTGATAATAGAAGCAAAGCTTAGAAATTTGTCCATGGTGATGGTGTTGGCCTACCAAATCTGTTTGATATGATCAATTATTGTACTTATCCCCAAGTTTATACAACTGGGCAAGCGTTCCAGACAGACCATGTAGGAAACTGTCATAGGATGAAGTTTCATACACATGGGATGACTGGTTGTTTTGCCCACCATCTGTTTAATTTCTTTTTATAGGACAAAAACCCTATCTGCTACTTATCACCGTGTTTGAAATAATTGAGTCCGACACTCATATTCGATACATTTCTAAGGATAATATCGTTCAAATACATGAAAAAACTCAGGATTATGCTTTGATTATGATTATGCATGACAAATATGGTTTCAGTTCAGACAATACAATGTCTGATTCACCTCTTGCCATTTCAGGATGCATGGACTCGGTTCAACTCGCCCGACTCGATCTGATCTACTATTTGCTCGATCGATCGCGACATTTCATCCATTCAAGAAAAATGCAAGATTTGAAGTTCATCGAGAAATCTTTTACAAACCATTTTTACAGTGATGAAAATTGAATATTGTTTTCTACAGAAAGGGTTCTTTTTTTTTTTTATTGTTAAACTGCTTATTACTTATTAGTACTGCAATGGAGTTCAAAGAAGAAATCAAATCCAATCAGAGCCTGCAACAATGCTGACTGGTGAAGATAGTTTGTATACATGCCGTTTTGACTATGACACACTTGCCGTTTCATATTTCCTCGTATGTGATCAGATTTTTAATTTAGTAAATAATGATAAAAGTAATAAAGTTTTTATTGGATTATCCAACCTGATTTATGGACAAGTTGATGACCAAATAAAAAATAAACCCATATAAAAAAGCAGTAAAATTAAGGGAAAGAAAGCGTGGAAGCCATTGAGCAGCGAAGTGAATAAATGAAAAAATACAAAAAAAAGGGGGGGGATTAAGAGGAACAGAGAAAGGGGAGAGAGGAGGGAGGGGGAGTGGGGAGAGAGAGAGGAGGGGAGAGAGAAAGAAAGCTTTTGCATGAAGTAAAACTTTTGAGATAATGTTTTGAAAAAAATTAATTCATAAGATAATATACTTCTTAGATTAATTGTTTAAATAGGGTGAAATTTACAGTATTGACCGTAGGTCGTTATGCCTTTCGGACGACCTATTACGTGGCCAATTTTTCGGCGAACTCACATAGAGAATGAACGTATTGCATGGAACATACACGTCCTAACACATAGGTCGCCATGCATTCCGGGCGACTTTGTAGGTCGCCATGCACTCCGGGCGACCTACCCTTGCTCGCTCGCTCGGCTGTCCTTAGATTTCCTCGCATAGCTCGCTCGACTGCCCTCGAATGCCCTCGCAGTGCTCGCTCGGATGACCTCGAATGCTCTCGTATAACTCGATCGGATGACATCGGATACCTAACATGTTGGAACGTACATGACACATACAATCTCTCGTAATTTACCAAAAAGATATGACGACCTATCAACACTGTAAATTTCACCTTATTTAAATAATTAATCTTAGAAATACAGTATTTCATTAATTAATTTATTCTATAACATTATCTCGAAAGTTTTGGTTTACCTGTTCTCTTCCCTCTTCTTCCTTAAAATCATTGAGCTTTTTCCAGTTTTCAAAGCTTATCCTTCATTATCTCTTTAACGATAAAACGATTCATCATCATCATCTTATCGTTCTTCTGCTTCGTCTTGTTTTCTCTACGTTCGCCGCCACACAGAAACTCGAAGCGTTCCCTTCGATGCCAACTCAGCTTCGATTCTGTAGTGGCGGCTTGCTTTCCGTTCCACGTTGAATGGCCTTCTCTCTCGTCCTGTACGTTCCACCTCTCCCTATTTCTCTGTTTCCCATTTCTTTTTAAATTTGCTTTTGGGTGGGATCATTTGTTGAAATTATGGACTTAAATTCGTATGTTTCTCTGATCTACCACATTGTTGTTGTTCTGTTTGCTTTCTTCTTCTGTGTATGAACGGTTTTCAGTAGATCTGAATTGATTCTTTTCTTCTTATCAAATCATTATTTTTCCCCTTACCTATAAAGATTTATCCTTTTCCCACATATATAAAAGTAAACTAATTACATTTCCGTGGGAAATGGATTTGGAAAATGCGGGTCTGATGGTTAAATCTCCTGCTAATTACATTTCCTTTCTCATGCTGGATCATTATGTGTTGGGTTTCTTTCTCCTTTTTTAATTCATTGACATCTCTGGGAAATGTTTTGTATAAAATGCTGGGTAAATTAAATTAATTAGCATTGTGATATTCTTCATGGATTTGGTTTTTTATAGTAACAAAAGGTTTTAATGTGTATAGAGTATACAAAATCAATCCTTTTTATGTGATTATTCTTTGTCATATGATAAACCTGTTTGGTTGAGTAGAAAAGTAGAAGGAAAATAATTTGTCTGGTAGGAAAGAAAATAAAAACGCAATCATTGTACACTCTGCTGCCCCATTATGTTGTTATGGTATTTCCACACAGTGGTTTGTCTTAGGTAAAAATACTTTTAAAGATGTTATGTTGTGCAATCTTTGGATACAAAAGCGGTCGGGATTTATCTCATCGTCTTCGTTTCCGGTATCCGTTTTTCTCTTGCATTTCCTCTATGGTGATTGTGAAAGAACTTACTTCTTTCAAGACGAACAGCGACTGTTTGCTATTTTTGCCCCAGGTTGTGTAGGCATTAATTGAAGTCTGTTCTTACCGTTTAAGAAAGATGGAATTTGAAAAAAAGAAGAGATGGAAATTCATGGAGTCACGCCTTTTCAAAAACAAATCAGCTTCTCGTTGCTTTTTCCCAAGGTGAAGCCGGCTACGTTTAGTCCGAGCTGTACTTCTGTGTATCTCAACGTGTACGACCTAACGCCCATGAATGGTTACGTTTACTGGGCAGGCCTTGGTATCTTCCATTCTGGTGTGCAAGGTTGGTTGATAGATTTTTACTAGAAAACATTTTATGACTGCAATGCACTTAAACATGCAAAATACATACTTGACAATCATGTCATTGTTATCTGGTTCTTGAGTTTTACTTGTAGCTTTTCCGATGACTCGTCCTATACTCTGTGTAGTTCATGGTGTGGAATATGCATTTGGAGCTCATGACTACCCAACCAGTGGTGTTTTCGAGGTTGAGCCACGACAGTGCCCGGGATTCAAGTTTAAGAAATCTTTGTTCATTGGAACCACAACACTGGACCCTGTTCAGGTAAGGGATTTCATGGAGCACTACTCGGAAAGGTACAATGGAGATACATATCACTTGATCGTCAAGAATTGCAACCATTTCTGTGGTGATATATGTCAGAAGCTGACTGGGAAACGGATTCCTAAATGGGTAAATCGATTGGCAAGAATAGGTACACTGTTACATCCCCATCTTGCAAGATCGTAAATCATTTTTCGGATGTCACATGTGTATACCCATGTTGCATTTGTTGCCCATCTCAAACTTGTCTCTGTGTCAGGTTCAATGTGCAACTGCATTCTTCCTGAAGGCCTTAGAACTGTAAAGCTCGATCTGAATTACGAACGGCAAGATAGTGAGAAGAAGAGACTGAGATCAAGCTTTAGTTTGTTGTCTTCGGTGTCGAGGCAACAGAAATCTTCGCTACTTCGGTCATCCTCTAGAGACCTACGACCATCATCGGAATCGAAAAGATAGATCAATGTTTTATGTTGAAAGGAAAAGGTAAGAAAAATTAGCGGTTGGGGGTTTTTCTTTGGCATTTTGGGTGCAAGCTCCATAGAAAAGGCTTTGATGGTTGAAGATTTGTTTGGTGTTGTGTTCTTGTTTCTTTAGTATGCAGTCATGTTTGTAACACAACACTAAGGTGCTGAAAAAAAAGATCAATATTAGAAACATTTCAATGAAGGATAAGTTAACCAATGACTATACAGACGGAGAATCCATATTAGCTTTGACCAAATAAACCTGCAGGAACAAAAAAAGACATTTCAGATTTACAGTAAACTTATTGTTAATGTGTACTTCGGTTATGCACTTATTTGGACACGGATAAAAGTATATATTCCATACCAGTTTCTTATATTTTGGAAAATATATTTTATTCCCACGTTCAAGTATATTCCAACACAAATATCCAACGAAATATTGAAAAGAAAACAAGAGCCCAAGATGCATAGGCTTTAAAACCAAAAAGAAACTAGGAATGGTGGATTATAGCAGATGATCCTGGCCACACTTTTCATGAATAAAGTTCACAATAAAATTGCAATGGCGTTGTCAGTGCAAGCTAAGAAACTCAACTGAGGATAGATAGCATGTGGAAGCAAGGGTTGAAGAATTTATCAATCGTTTTTTCGGATGCAAAACACTAGGCAGGCTATTATTACCATTGAGAGCAGCAAGGTATATCCGCTTCTCAGCCAACCTGATATCCGAAAGTATCAAACCACCCTGCAGCCAAGAAAAACAAAACTAAGGTTAACATCAAAGCAGCATAACAATGAAGACAGTTGAAGTAATGGTGTCATATTTAATACCTCAGAGGCCATCAATTTTCGGTCATTATTAGCATATAGTTTTGGATTATCCTTTTCTTGCTGCGACGGGAGGTAAACAGGTAACCATATTACCTCCAAGTGATTTACAAATTGACACAGAAGAAAAACCACATGACGCCCCTGCAAAGGACATTATAGACCATCTCACCAGCATTGACGTCAGCAGGAAGAACAAATGTCAAAAAACAAATATACTTATCATCAAATTATTTTAAATTCAATGTCTTCCTGGAGGGGAAAATATAATCATATGTTTTCCAAATAATCACCCATTATATTAACATTTTGTTTCCAATTTTCTCCATTAAGGTTTATATAATAAGTGCATTATTGTCTTCACATTTAGTAGTTTTTTAAGAATAAAGTTGCAGGAACATGCATTGGTTACAGTATTTTTAACAGATTCTATACAAATGCACTATGCAAACAACAAAACATCATCAGAATATTAGTATAACGAACAAAAATCAGCATCAGTGTAACTATAGTGCACAAATGATTTGTATTAAGACCGCCGCATAATGAGGCACCACCGAAAAACTAACAAACACAAACCAAAATTTCTCGTATGTATTATTTTTATATCCAGTGATCATTTACAGGTATTTAACAGCTACTCAGCTTAGGGGGGGAAAATACAAATTATCATCATAAATCACAAAGCCGTTTTGATTTTTCTTAATAGATACTCACCCCAGATATTGAATCCCAGGCTGGACTAAATCTTCGGTCTGAGTACCTTAATATAACAGGCACAACAGGTGCTCCGGCTAAAAAGGCACCAGTCTTGAATGGGAGGGGGAAATCCCCATTACTTGTTGTTCCTTCTGTTGTCGAGAAGAAAATAAATCAAGTTTTACTAGATACAGATAGGCATAGGAAATATAGATGCTTAGGATGCTACGAAACATCAGCTACAGACATAAATATACATAATACACTCATACAGTAGAGCATGCACCATATATTAACCGTGTGATAAATGCATAGTGAATAAATAAGATGATTAACCTGAAAGAGAGACCAGTTAGGCATCGTACTTTTGATTAATTAAAGTGATGAAGAACAAGTTCGGTGTTGTCAGTTTTTTTACCTGCAACACCTTTGAAGTCTGATGATTTTGACTCGCGTTGAACGTAGACACAACCAAGACATTTGCTGTAAGAAACAGGCCAAATATCATTCATCACGCCAACTCAAAACCAATTTATTTATACTACACAAAAAATATGAAACTGGTATGAAACATATAACAACCAAAAACAAATGGATGCACACAATACTCTTTCCAAAACTGAAGATTCTTATTCGAATGCAAACGGTTCGCTTGCTAGACATAGCTACAACATAAGATGTGAAGCTTGTAGTTAGGAGCACGAATGGAATAAGTTAAAACTATTGACATAAGTCCCATAACTATATTAAGCTTTAAAAGGAAAAAAAATCAATTATGGCAACCAAACTGCTGATTGTTTTGCACCAAACCAAGGGAGAAATTTTCGAGGATAAAGTTAACTCTCACCCGATGAGACCAATTAAGGGAAGTTTACTCACTGATCTCTTCAGCAATAAATCCAAGCATTTCAAATGAAAAACCAAACAAAAGATATGTCAGTTAAAACTGCAAAGCTTACCTTTAATACCATAATCAACTACCAAAATGAGAGGAGTGGCTAAAGTTAACAGACCTTGGCAACAAAACTCGGAAAGGAAGAGGACATGTGATAGAAGATATCTAAATAGGACAAGTGATTAGATACGATTGCCCCAGGCCTTTCTTGCTCTTCCGATTGTTTAGTACTCTGTAGAAAAATCATACACAATAGAAAATTCAGGAAAATGTTGATCAAACAATTACTTCTTGTGTTTAAGTAAAGTCTATCAGTTAGCATAATTAAATGCATATAAATTCTCTTTAAAGATGAGAAATTGGAATACTAAAATGCTGAATAAGTAAAAACCTACCTCGGTTTTTGAACTCTCCTGGGTATTTGCTGAATCCTTACGAGTTTCATTAAGCCAATAAAATCCTACCGTAAAAAGCAGCAACCTAGAAAGAAACCGGCCCGATTGGACAATCACGGCTCGCCTACACCCACCCAAGTGTGCGAAATCTTCCTGCTCATCCTCCAGATTCGGGGTCGAGAATAGCGTAAAAATTCTACAAATCAAGTAATACACGACCAAATAGTCAATACTAAAACGAGACGTATGGGAGAAGCGAGACGAGGGCGATGCCCAGCAGGAGTTTCTCTTTCAATGGCAGCTTTTCACGTCCCATTGAACCGTACACGTCATTGCGCACGAAGGCAGCGAATTTCTTCTCGAGCTCCTGGATACCTTCGGCGGCGGATTCAAGGAGGGGGAGGTCGTCTTTAGGGGAGACATCGTTGTCGTCGGGGTCGGATTCTCCGGTCTTGGCCGGTTTTGAAGTAATGCGATTGAGTTCGGATCCCATGTTGATTCTACAAAGCTAGTGATATCCTAGATATTATCAATAGTTATACAAGATAATTTGATTGCTATATTCAGAGATAAATTAGTGGATTGGATAGTGAATTTGGATTTGATCGGAAATGTATGGCGGAGGAAATGAAAGTTTACGATCGAAAACGACAGTTTTCGTTAGATCAGGGAAAACCGCCATGGATTCTTCTGCAAATCTCGCCCGCCACGTCCCTCGTCAAGGCCTTGGTTTATATTACTGGGAAATTCAAATGCGCGAAAAATGGAATTTTCCATATTATTGATTATTTAAATGTGAATTCTATACTACATCAAAATGATCTTAATCCCTCAATTATATAAAAATATTTTAATCATAATATAAAAAACTATAATTAATTAATTTAAATAAATTTTAATTTATTATCACCTTTAATATTGCGTAAATTTATATTTTAATGAAAATATTCAATATACATTTTTTAAATCAACTTTATATTTATTATTCATATCTTAAAATAACTTGTACAAGAGATACTTAAAGCACAAATTGCATAATAGATGTATACAATGCAAGCAGAGGCACAAATTGCATAATAGATGTGTACAATGCAAGCGGAGGCACATAAACACAACAAAGGCATAATAGTGTAAATCATATCGGAGACACATAATACATAATTCTTATATTAAAGGCACAATAGTACTAGAGGTAGGGGTGTAAACGAGACGAGTCGAGCTCGACTCGAAAACTCGCGAGTTTAAAATTTTCAAGCTCGACTCGAACTTGAAATCCTGAACTGAAGCTCGTGAGCAGCTCGAAAAGGCTCAAAATGAAAAAAAAAAATTCTTAAACTTAACTCGATTGAATCTTCAAACTCAATCTCGAACATGAACCTTAAATACATGAAATCTTACTGTGTTTTTTAAACAAAATAATACATAAATATTAATATTATTAATAATTTATTTTTTAAAAATAATAAAATCTTAATATATTATATTTTCGAGCTGCTCACGAGCTTTTCGAGTCGAATATCGAGTAGCTCGTTTCGGCTCGTTAAGAACTCGAGTCAAGTCTATTCGATCCGAGTATTTATCGAGCCTTGATCGGGGTCGATCTTGAGTAGCTCGCGATCTGTCTCATCTCATTTACAGCCCTAACTAGAGGCTTAAAGAGTAAATCAACATTTCTTAACGACAGTTAATACTAATTATAATGAAAGCAGTTAAAAAATTAATGATATTAATGCATATTTTTAAAGTTTATGACCAAAATGAAATTACTTTGAAAGTTCAATGACTAATAATATAGTTTTACCTAAAAAGATATTGTCAATGCTACAACGTTTAGGCACTCACATTCTAACGCCGTTAACTGCCCGATCAGAACCACACGGGTCAACGACGAGTCAAGACAAATTAAGCAACAGATTGTGGCCACGTGGAGGTTTTAGAACCCCAAACGTTATTAGTAAGCTTTAAAACATAGAAAAGATGAATTATAGAAATCTGTCCTCTGCAAACGCGTCAACAAACAGATACGAAGTTTCTTCGAGGAGATTTTTTCTGCGATCTTCATATTTCTTGTATTTATTTTGACTCCTTTGGATAGCTCGATTGCCTAATCGATCTGTCCTTTGATCTCCTTTATCTATTCGAAGGTCAGTAATTTAATTTCTCCCTCTCTCTTTTTAGTTTTTAAATGCTAGATTTGTTTTTTTTTTGTCATTTCTATTGCCGTTGAATCCGATATTTATATTTGATTAATCGTCATGAATTTTGTGCTTGTTTTTTAATTACTTATGCTGATTTTCATAAGAGATCTGTGTTTTTTTTAATTTGAGATTATTTAATTTCCTAACAAGCATATTAACATTTATAGGCTTTGATTTCGGTATGACGTCCTTGAATTTTTCGGAAAATTCAATCATTTCTGTATTCTTGCATTTCCTGGTGAAACTGACGATACTAGCTAATTGTACGTTTGGTGTTTGATCTGGTATGAATTTGATTTTTTTTATAGGAATCTGAGTGTAGGAAGTCAGAGAAATGGCAAGTGGGTTTGGGGGATCTGCGAGCCATTCGCCCCAGAATCCATCTTGCTCTAGCAACAATGCAAATGGCGATGCTGGTAATTTTGAGTGCAATATCTGCTTTGACTTAGCGCAAGATCCCATTGTCACTTTATGTGGTCATCTTTTCTGCTGGCCTTGCCTTTACAAATGGCTTCATATTCATTCCCGTTCTCAAGAATGCCCTGTTTGCAAGGCCCTTGTGGAGGAAGAAAAATTGGTACCTTTGTATGGAAGGGGAAAGTCATCTACTGATCCTAGGTCGAAATCTATCCCAGGTGTTAATATTCCGAATCGTCCAGCTGGACAGAGACCTGAAACGGCTCCTCCACCGAATCCAAATCAGTTTCCCCAAAATGGGTTCGGGTTCATGGGAGGCTTGGGAGGTTTCGGAAGCTTTGCACCGATGGCATCAGCGAGGTTTGGGAATTTCACACTATCTGCTGCTTTTGGTGGTCTTCTTCCTTCACTGTTTAACCTTCAGGTCCATGGATTTCCTAATGCGGCCGTGTTTGGTCCAGCTGCTGGGTTTCCATATGGGTTTCAACATTCATATCATGGTGGCCATGCTCATGGATATCACCACCACCACCACCACCATCATCATCGTACTGCACAAGGGCAGCAGGATCAATATCTGAAGATGCTGTTTCTGTTTATTATTATTTGTGTTATCTTTGCAATGATTTATCAATAGACCAAATCTGCTATCAAAGCATGAATTGTCAACTTATTTTATAATTGTCAGTCCATTATATCTTGTGTAAGTATAATAAATGAATTGTTTTTGTTTTTGCTTGGTGATTGATGAATTTGTTGTATGATACTT